GGGTTATCGGGCTTGGAGAGGGGAAATTATGCGGCGGACAGGGACAAGGACAGGGACGGGGTTATAGGGCTGGAGGGACCAGGCTTGGGGCCAGGACTGGGGTAGGGGAACCCGGGGCAGGACAGAAATGGGGCCAGGGGGATGTCGGGCCAGGGATGACAGGGAGATTCGGGGTCCCGAGGGGACTTTGAGGTGCTGGGGGTGCCTCACGGTGACCCCCCCACCCAGCCGTCATCCGCAACTACGGGAACCTGCTGCTGGAGCTGTCGGCCGTGGTCCCCGACGGCATCGTCGCCTTCTTCACCAGCTACCAGTACATGGAGAACATCGTGGCCTCCTGGTACGAGCAGGTATGTCCCCGCCTGTCCCTTGGGGCATCCCCTGGCCCCCACCGTGTCCCCTTGGGTCTCCTGACCCCGGACCCCCCGCTATGGCAGGGCATCCTGGAGAACATCCAGCGGAACAAGCTCATCTTCATCGAGACGCAGGATGGGGCCGAGACCAGCATGGCCCTGGAGAAGTACCAGGAGGTGGGTGGCAGCGCCCCAGGGTGTCACCGTCACTGGTGCCACCTCTCCCAGTGACGTGGCGGCTGTTCACAGGCCTGCGAGAACGGCCGGGGCGCCATCCTGCTCTCCGTGGCCCGTGGCAAAGTGTCAGAGGGCATCGATTTCGGTGAGGGCCAGCCCAGCTCGGGGACACGGTGGCGGGGGGATGCGGCAGAGAGTGCCAAAGCACACTGAGCACCCTGTTTTGCCCCCCACCCACCCAGTGCACCACTACGGCAGAGCCGTCATCATGTTTGGGGTGCCCTACGTCTACACCCAGAGCCGCATCCTGAAGGTGAGCGGGGACCCCAGGGGACCCGTGGGGACAGCGGGGCACCCAGTGGGCAGAGCCAGGCACCTCATGGCACAGCCAGGCACCCCAGGGACGCCATGGGCACTTTGGGGACACGATGAGGTGCCCCAGGCCTGTAATGGGGCACCCGTGGGGCACAGCCAAGCACCCTAGGGACACAGTGGGGCACCCATGGGGTACAGTGGGCACCCTGGGGTCACATTGTGGCACCCTGTGGCTGCAGCGTGACACCCCAGGGCTCCCTGGGGACCAGCGGGGCACCCCACGGCCAGGATGGGTCACCCGTGGGGCACCCAGTGTGTCCGTGCTCCCCCCCAGGCCCGGCTGGAATACCTCCGGGACCAGTTCCAGATCCGGGAAAACGATTTCCTCACCTTCGATGCCATGCGCCATGCAGCCCAGTGCGTAGGCCGGGCCCTGCGCGGCAAAACTGACTACGGCCTCATGGTCTTCGCCGACAAGGTGGGTAGCGGGATGGGGGGAGGGGTTTGGGGGGGCTGTAGGACCCCCCCCGGTTCCTCCCCACATCTCCCCTGCAGCGCTTCGCCCGGGCGGACAAGCGGGGGAAGCTGCCGCGGTGGATCCAGGAGCACATCACCGATGCCAACCTCAACCTGACGGTGGACGAGGCGGTGCAGGTGGCCAAGTTCTTCCTGCGCCAGATGGCTCAGCCCTTCCACCAGGTAAAGGAGCCCCCCGAGGTCCCCCCCAGCGCTGGAGGGGCCGGGCGGTGGGGGACCCCCGGCTCACCCCCTCCCGCTGCAGGAGGACCAGCTGGGGCTGTCCCTGCTGACGTTGGAGCAGCTGCAGTCGGAGGAGGTTCTGCAGCGGATCGAGCAGATCGCTCAGCAGGTGTGAGCCGGCCGGGGGTGTGGGGTGACCCCCCCTGTGGGCTTGGGGTGGGACCCCGAGCCCCCCGACGTGCTCGGAGTGGGACCCAGAGCCCCCCTGCCGTGGGCCCAAGGTGGGACCCGGATCCCTCTGTGTGCTCAAGGTGGTATCTAGGTCCCCGCCACGTGCTCAGGGTGGGACCTGGAGCCCCCCCACATTCTTGGGGCAGGAACTAGATCCCCCCCGACGTGCTCGGGGTGGGAACTGGCTCCCCTTCACATGCTTGGAGCAGGACCTGATGCCCCCCATGTGCTCGAGCAAGACCTGGATTCCCCCCAGCTCACTCGGAGCAGGATCCG